ACCGCATGTCGCTCGTCCGTACCTCGGATAGCTTCAAGCCCGGCCTTAAGTACACCGCCTATGTAAGTAGGGGTGATGGGTGGGGGGGGGTGGCAGTAATGAGAGCGCCAACGAGTGTAACCTCAGTATTGGAAATGGGTTTGATTTGGTGCATTTGTTTATTTCCAGATGATTACTCTTTATTGAAACTTGCTATACAGTGTTACAATGATTACCCCGAGGCTGCGACGACGAGCTAACCTCAGCTGATTCGCCCCCCTCCCCCTCCCGCAGCTGAAGATGTCGTACCAGGACGACACGCCCGTCACGTCCGGCGAGGTGACGGTGCGACACACCTTTACGCGCGACACCGAGGGCTTCATCGAGACGACGCACGAGATCCCAGCCTCTGGCATCGTCACGCTGAACTTCCAGCCGCCCCTGGACGACGACGTGGTGAGCCTGGCCCTGGAGGCGCGCTTCCAGGGGCTCACGCAGTGGCTTGGCGAAATCACCAGGGCGCAGAGTCCTACCGACGCCTTCCTGCAAGTCACCCTCCTCACACAGTCGCCCAAGGTACTTCCCGCACAAGTGGCCGAGGCGGATCCTCTTGGTTTGCTGTGCTGTGGTTCTAGTGTGGGAGAGCCTAGCCTGCTTACCAATACTATATCATTAAAGCCTTGTAGGTCTTGTATGGCAACATTCAGCATTCTTCAGTGGTCATCCTTATAGAGACAAATTAGACTCATCAAAATATTGATTCTAACAGGAAGAGAGGAGTAACATTTACGTCTAAGATAATTTCCGAGTCATTTTCACTGCATGTCGTCAGAGTAGACTCCATAGGAATATAGATGGAATCACCGTGAGAGATTATTTTTTTCTTGTAGCCAAAGAGCATGTTAGAATAATCTTAACAAATAACTTTGAACATTGATATTATTGATACATTGGCATTTTTATAAATCTATATTTACCATAACATTTAATTCTTGTATAACTACTCATGTGTATCTTTAACACACCTTTATATCCGTGAGTGTACAGCTGTGGCCAAATGTCGTGTCAAATGTATTCTAAATTCAAACCGGCCATTCAAATGATGCCCCTCAGAATGGGATGTTTCGGTGCATCAGTAACGTGAAGGGCAAATGGCGCAGCTGTTCGCTCTTGTCTACCCATTCGGAAACAAACCTTATCACAGTGTTTTGTTCTTAACGATTGTCCTTTCGTTGTCTCCACACAGACCTAACCTTATGATTTAGATGCAACATGTCCTCTCCTAATTACATAACCATTTTTTCGAGTAACTATACTCGGTCTGTATAATCTCACCTTGTCAACATTACCAGTTTGTGTTTTTTTACTCTGATTCACACCAGATTTTCTCTCGTGCACTACTGCATGTCATTTACCTCGCATGATATTCAGATCTTTTTGCATGACCTCATATTGCATGATCCTCGATCCCTCGTCACCTACAGGTCGGAGAAGACGTCGAACTGATGCTCACCACCACCAAGCCGGTATGTCCTCCTTCCTGCACGCTGTCTCCTCCATTTCCACACTTTTGTCGCCACAATTGCTTCCTCTGTGCCTTCCTCCCTACAGTAGACTCAGTGCCTTTGCCGTTCCATTTCATTCACTGGCAAAGTAGCAATATTGTGCACTATTTCTGGGAGGATTGGTAATGTGAATTAATGATAAAGTTGGTGTATTTAATCTGATGTAAATCTTGAGAGTATGAAATGAATATTTTATTGATAATATTACAAAGCATTTTCTACGCAGTATTACCGTGAATTTTGCAGTTTGAGTCAAATGCTTACAGTATATCTCCATCTAAAATAACTTACGTAATACTGTATTAACCAAAAGTTCCCCAAATAAAAACTATTCGCTCTGGTAGCAGTCGTGTAGCCTGGGTCTCTAACCACGATATCATCAAGATGATGACAAGTATGCATGGGTGTGCAGCCACTCGAAACGTGTAACTTTCCTTTCTTCTACTGCCTGACCCGAGACCCTGCGAGAACCGCGCGCATTCCGAACGTTTTTACATAAGTAATTACTACTCCACAACTACTGTACCGCATTAATACTAATGTCGAATTTACAGTTCTATAGGAAACTAGTTAATCTTTTTACTTTATCTTACACCATTTAAACAAAAACAACATCAGTCTGGTCTGTGAACTGATTGTTCGTTCGAAAGAAGCAGAAAATACGGCAGCGCAAGATCTATGTAACTACCTATATAGACCTTGCCGCAGCGTGCTACTGACACATGACACATTTTCTTGACCTATATCTTTAATTTGTACTTCACTGTGACCTGTGACCTCTCACCCTCGCTAACATGACTCCTAACTACTTCCCTGTTTTTCTCTCTCACTAACTCGCCTCGACCTGCCCTGACCTGGCTTCCCTTCCCTTAGGTCGGCGAGGAGGTGATCGTGGGCCTGAACGCCACGCAGCCCCTCATCTACTTCGTGTACCAGGTGCTGGGGCGCGGCGACGTGCTCTTCGCCCAGACGCTGCAGGCGCACCAGGGGACCACGCACAACTTCAGGTGAGAGCCAGATGTCGCCAAGCATCACTTTCCACTTTCTCCTTGAGCCTTGGGTTTCCTGGAGCTCCATGGCATCTGGTTATGTCAGGTTTTCAGTTTGATTAGAACATTGCAAAGGCGATCTTGCACATCTCACTCTAAATATCCGCCCAAAAACAACTTCCTTGAGCAAACGATGACCCACCGCTCACCCCCAGGTTCGTCGCCACTGCTGCCATGGCCCCGCGCGCTCGCCTTGTCGTCTACTACGTGCAGGAGGACGGCGAGCTCGTGGCCGATTCCCTGCACTTCACCGTCTCCGGAGCCATCCAGAATCACGTGAGTCCCCCCCCCCCCCCTTCGCCCCCTTATCCTATTAGCGGAGTCCCAGGAGGCGCGAAAGGATCCAGACCTTTCCTCGAGGCGTTCGGCGCATCTCTGGCAGTCACTTGTTTCTGAAGTTTGGCGTGCTCATTGCGATTACATCCTTTGTCTGTTGGATGTCTTTTAGGTGGTGCGAATCTTTACTTTAAACATAGAAGCGCGTTGTGGTGATGATAACCTTGATAATGGTTTACAGTTTGCCTATTAATCATTACTTAACAACCTTTTTTCAATTTAATTTGTAGTATGGCGTTCAAAAATGTGTGCTGTTTGGCATCGTAGGGTATAACTTAACTTAGTTGTCCAAAGTATAATCATGTATGAATTAAGAAGGATACTGATAACCGCAAACCTTTCTTCAGTCAAACAGAAAAAAACTGCTGATACAAAAAAGAAACAAATTCAGAATCAGAGTATACAGTGACAAAGATGAAGAAAACCGACTTGAAACATGGCTTTTGAACAGTCAAACCATCAGCCGGAATAAGCGACACAGAATATCAAATAAATCTCACAAGAGTTCGTCGTAACCCCCTCCCCCTCCCCCCAAAGGTGTCCGTGAGTGTGTCTCCGAAGACCGTGGACGCGGGCGGCGACGTGGCCATCACCGTCACCACGAAGCCCAACGCCTTCGTGGGCGTCCTGGCGGTGGACCAGCGCTCGCTCATCCTCGGAAACGAGAACCATCTGACGCAGGTGAGGGCAAAGCACGTCGTGGGTGTGGCCTAGCGAGGCATGTGGATGGAGAAGTAATGGAGGTAGAACGTTTAGACATGTTGGTAAGTTGTCACTTAAAGATAAGGGAAAGGGCATTGAACTTTTCAGAATTCTATCCCTCGTACCCTTTCTATTCTTCCCTAACTTTTTCTTTTCCTCTCTTCTATTTTTTTATTCTTCCTTTTCCTCATCTTCTTCTGCAATGAATATACTCACAATCTTACCCTGCCCCAGGACGACGTGATACAAGAGCTGGAGGACTACGACCCGGGTCGCGAGAACCTGGAGGTGTGGCACTCCCTGCACCGCCAGAAGCGGGCGCTGTTCAACTGGCACGGCACCACCACCGCCAGCGACGTCTTCCAGGTGTGTGTCGGTCGCCAACGGGCTGAGACATGAGGCGGAGATTTTTTTCATTCTTAAGTTTATTTTATTCCTGTAGACCTCTGATGACCCTGAAATAATTGGATTGCTTTTGAATGCTTATTTCGTGTACTTTTGGTCATATTTTATGTAAAGTGTTTTGTGATAATCAGCAGCACAGAAATGCTTAATATATATGTCAGTGACATAACCATCTGTGATAAAGAATAAAATGTTATGATATTAGTAAGATACATGCTGGCATAATGTTACTGGTATTAGTGTGATGACGGCGAGAACATTCCAGAACGCGGGTGTGGTCGTGCTAACCAATGGAATTGTTTATGACTTCAATCCCTTCCGTGAGTATTTCCAAATTCGGTTGGACATCTTCAGTTTTAGGAAATGTGATATATGTATATATTAATTAATTGCATTTTGATGCTATGAAGTATTAGAAATCACTTGTACTCCAATCAGAATTACATTGTATTATATTCATGAACATGAACACTATCCTTTGGTTTGATAAATTTGAACATCTGAATATTTCCACTTTAGTTACTGCAAGTTAAGAAATAACTCATGAGAAGCGATTTGTTTGTTTCTTGGCGCATTCACCGCCCTTTGTTCTGTAACACAGGTATTATCATTTAGATCGGAAATCACGTGAGTAGGAGTGAATGAGCTTGATCTAGCGGGTGTTTGCTTGTCCCGTGTTCCTGCCGTTTGTTTGTTCGTCCACTCTCCTTGTCGTTTGTGTGTTTGTGCGTTTGTTGCTGCATAAAATTCACATTCGTTTTGTTACTCATATTTTAAGATGTGTAAAACCCTTGACTAGGCTTCCGAAATAATTAACTTGATAAAAAATTGAGGTGTTAGTCGAAAAAAGTGATAGCAGTGGAAATTTAGGAAGTTAAAACTCTTCAGACAAAAATATCTAGAAAGATCCTCACGTATAGGCCTACTGAACGGATGTTATATTTTCGTGCACATTGTTTTTGAAAGCAGCTTGAGAGACGGAGATCAGGGCATCATCATTTGCGTGGTTTAAAAAAGGTTATCGGACGTGCAAGGACGAAGTAGAACTACGGTTTTCATTTAACATCTTCCGTTTCTATCTTCTTTTTTTTATAATGTTTGAATTTCCTGTTTACCACATTTTTTTCATAAAAACTCAAAGAGTAAACTTTTCTTGCCATTAAAAGTACATATTTTCAGTAATCACAACAACAAGCAACAACTTTTACATGACTATTTATTGCTCGTAGTCACAGGGTGGCCGTAGCTGGAAATCTCTTTCTGCTTATATTGCACATTTTCTCCGAATCGTTGTAAGGATTTTTCCCCCGTACGTCCTTCCAGTTCCCTACAAGCTTTCAGACTGTCAGAGAAGGAAAGGAAATATCACACATATTTATAGTTCCGAAGGCACACTTAGAATCAAGCGCTTTTGATAACACTAATTCCTTGTCGTAGCTCTGTCTCGTGAAGCCCCTCGCCGACCAAACTAACATTAACGCTGTACTAACCCCTGTGCTAGTGTACTACCGTACGGTCCTGGATGACCCGCGGGACATGAGGGCCATGGAGTCCCGCGTCCCCGAGGCGGCCCTGGCGCAGGGACCCCCCGTGGCTGCGCGCACAAAATTCCCCGAGACCTGGGTCTTCACGGCGGCGGACTCCGGGTAATTCCTCACTTCTGACTAACTTCTTTTGTTTATTCATTCATGCATTGACAATTTACTAGAAATCTAGGTAGAGGACTCCTGCGCGAGCTCATAGTGCAGAGTCTACTGTGCACGTTCTAAAGGTTTCCTGCACTTTTTCGGAACTGCTTTCTTCTAGTGGCCGAAAGGCAAGTGCGTAGCTCGTACTCCACCAGAAACAAACATCTTTAACGCTGTGGACATTTTCTCGTACAGGTCTTGTATAATGGCATTACCAAGAGCCCTTTGAAAACTCAAACTGCATCGTCTCTCTAATTTCCGCTCTATACTGTGTTGTATTACTTTCTCAACCTTGTACGGTTGACGGATTACCTCGTCACCTTTCCTCTCTTCGTAATTCCTTACTTCGACGAAGGCGTCCAGCGAGGCTGAATGTTTTCCTCGGATATTTCCTCTGTCATTAACATCCTGGGTATGACCGGGCGCCGTGCCGCTCGACACGACGGCCGCTCCAGCAAACTCTGCGAGGCGAGTTGTGGTATTAACTCCTTATGAACGGCCAATCCAAGTCTTTAGATGAGTTTTATCCTATCTCTGTGTGCATGCGCATGAACATTTATGTTATTCCGCTTGTGTTCGGCATTTCGTACGAGTGTGTGTGTTTCGTGTGCATCTGTGTGCATGTGTAAAAGGTTCCAAGATGGCGGACCTATCTAAGTTCTCGAAGCAGCGATCGCGGTAGCCAATAAGTCTCCTTCATTTCCTGTCTCACCATTTGGCCAACAGTGACAGGGAAGTTGCCGCCAGGGGAGGGCCCCGTCGACGGCTCTGCGTGGGACCCCCACCGGCGACCTGCAGCTGTTAACGGTTCCTTCGGGAGGGAGTTTGCACCTGTGGGAGCGACCACCCTGCGCCCCGACCTGGGCCCTGGCCTTGCCTATAACGCCCCGACCAGACCGCCCTTGGCTGGTCCCTATGCCTTCTCCTTCTTGCCGCCTCCCCCGGACAGCCGCCCGAGGCTCTACCTCCACCAGGCCGTTCCTCCCACGTGGCTCTTCCGAGACGCGGAGACAAAGTGGGTGTTGCCTCCCCCCTGCCCCCCCCTCTCTCCCTCTTTCTCTTTCTCTCTCTCTCTCTCTCTCTCTCTCTCTCTCTCTCTCTCTCTCTCTCTCTCTCTCTCTCTCTCTCTCTCTCTCTCTCTCTCTCTCTCTCTCTCCTCTCTCTCCCTCCCTCCCTCTCTCTCCCTCCCTCCCTCTCCCTCTCTCCCTCTCCCTCCCTCCCTTCCTCCCTCCCTCTCTCTCTCTCTCTCTCTCTCTCTCTCTCTCTCTCTCTCTCTCTCTCTCTCTCTCTCTCTCTCTCTCTCTCTCTCTCTCTCTCTCTCTCTCTCTCTCCCTCTCTCCCTCCCTCTCTCTCTCTCTCTCTCTCTCTCTCTCTCTCTCTCTCTCTCTCTCTCTCTCTCTCTCTCTCTCTCTCTCTCTCTCTCTCTCTCTCTCTCTTTCTCACACTCCCTCTCTCTCTCTTGTTTATTTCTCAGTCACTCTCTCTGCATCCGTTTATTAGCATAACTCGAGAGCAGCGGCCCCCTTGACCAAGGCGGCGTCTGCTGGCTATGTCGTAGCTCTCAGGTTGCACGTACAGTGTCAACATAACTCATAGAGTTTAGCCTTGTGTT